AATAAAAGACCAATGATGAATGTTTTCTAAACTCACCCAATAAAAGACCAATGATGAATGTTTTCGGAGAGACAGGATCGTAGACCCAGACATACATTTCATCCCCATCCAAAAACATCTGATCTATGTCGTCCACATGAAGTTTTATAATTCTTTCTTTTTTTTTCTTTTCTTTCTCTCCATCCTGAAAAATAAAATAAAACATTTTTAAACTGAAGCCGCAGTTTTCATCTTTTTGTTCCTTTTGAAGTTCTTGGGCCAAATAAATAATAGATGCATTTTTTTTTTGTTGTTGTTGTTGTTTGTTTCTTATGCGTAGCACTGTATCTAAGAGACTGTGAATGTAGCACAAGTAAATCACCAGCTCTGGAAATACCTGTCTCAGATATAACAGCTAACAGAAGTATCAGTCAGGGAATACTTCACCTTCTTTTTCTCTTTCTCTTCTTTTTCCTCCTTTTCAGCTTTCTTTTTCTTTTTTGAGGACTTGGATTCCTCTGTCTTCTCTTTTTCTCCTTTCTTTCCTTCTTTGTCTTCCTCTGCTTCTTTCTTTCCCTTTTTCTTTGATTTCTTTTCCTACGAAATGAGACATAAAATAAAGATAGAAAAGAAATTAGTTTGGAAATCAAAGATTTGCCATTCTCAAAATTCTCACGATATTTGTGTTCATTATTTAGGTATGCCATTCTCAATATCCTACCAATGTTCAATTCTAAAAACATTTCTATAAGCATTTTCTCCATTCCCCTGAGCTGCAGGGATGGTGCGAGCCAGCTTCTTTAGTTTCAGACCTCCACACATGCGAGTACATCAACAGATGCGACAAATGGATTTTAATTTCACAGTGTAGAAGTTGACCTTTATCTTCTCTGTAACTGAGACCACAACCACATACCTGCCATTCAAACCAGCCACTACCTAGGGAAATTTCTACACTAAACTAAACCACAAAACAGTCTCCATAACACTGCAGGGACATATGTGTCTGTGTTTTGTGTGTGTGTGTGTGTGGGGGTGTGTTTTATTATTATTGTTATTATTGCAAACATCCCAACACAATTTAAAAAGTAGATCTAAACTACTACACCTCATCCAGTCCAGTGTCCTCTCCACTTTCCAACGCCTTCTTTTTCTTCTTTTTGTCTTTCTTCTCCACCTTAGCAGCACGGTGGAACATGCCCTTCATCAGCAAGCTGAGGGAAAAATTACACTCTTATCAGATCATTAACATGTACTCTACTTCATTCAGTATTACGTTATCACCAAGCTGGGGGAAAACACACTCTAGTGAGATCATTAACACATACTATAGTATAAAACACATACTATAGTCTACTACATTCAGTATATTCTGATGGACATTTATCTGTACAGTCTGTTGATAATGACCATCTGTTCAAAATTTTCACTTTATACACACAATTGAGACTTAACCTCACGGTCACCCAGCTGATGTAATCTATTCTATTTGTTAAATACTGCATAAAGACCATAGATATGTTTCAGAATCTATTCCAGGACTGAGGATGAGATGAGTGACAGAAGGTGACCAACTGACAGTCTCCAACTGTATATCACAGCACTTCTAATAACAGCCAATTAAGTTGACTCCCAGGGCGGTATTCTCGAATGTTTTCGACGTCGAAATTTTTTCGTCTTCGATTCGTTAAAAAATTCGTGAACGATTCGTGGTATTCTGGAAGCTATCGAAACGAATACGATTTGAAAATGAATCCTTGTCGAAATCGTGACCTAATTCCAGACTCGGAACTTTCCTCTCTCATGAGGCAAGAAAATACATCAAAATAAAGGATTGGAGCGAGCAGTTTCCTCATAAAACCATTAATTATCACATTCTCCTGTTGTGAGGGGAGGAAACTGCTTGACCACTTAAGTAGATGTTAGATCATTTTTGACCTTAAAAGCAGATTCAGTCCATTTTAAGACTACTGCGGTAATGATTAAGATCGTGTAATCTTGAGCACTTGTGATCTTAAATTGCACTTTAAGACCAAATCCAGCCCACTAGTGATTAAAAACTCATTGCAAGGAAATATCCTGGGAATCAAAGTTTTTTTTTTTACTTATTTATTAATTTATTTATTTTGGGGGGAGGGGACAAAACCGTCCTTCTGGCTAGAAGAGGTCAACCCTGAACCAAACAAAAATCAAGGTTCTGTCCTTGTCAACAAGGTCCACTTTTTTTAAGAAAACAAACTCCTCTTCCTTTCAAAATATTGGCTACAGGCTAAGTTATAATAATATAATATAATAAACTATGACACTGGTCATCTGCTTTATTTCTGCTACATGCCGAAAATTAGTGGGCTATTTAATAAGTGAAACAACCATCACTTCACTCCAGTTCCTGCTTATTCACTTACTTATGGCAATAGTCTACACAAGACTCTCTCGTTGTAAACAATGCATCGTCTCCTTTGGTCCATTTGGAGTCCAGAAGTTTATCCACTGCATCTTTTGCTGAAAGACAATGTTACAGTAATTCATGAACACTTTTGTATTGAATAAAAGCAAACAAACTTTCTGCTGAAAGTGAACAATTTCATGATTTTGGTATGTCTGCAACATGCATTCAGTTCACACTGGTGAAAAGGATGACATCCTAATTTTTTTACATATACTTTAAAAGAAATAAACATTTTTTCAACACCAGACATTTTTACCTAGTCCTTAAATTTTCCATACACACAGTAAAAAAATCCTCCCACCACCAAAAAATAAACAAAATTATAAATAAGTGAAAAAAATTAAGTCTACAGAAATGTGTTTTGGATATTATCCAGTGAATAAATTGCATTGGGAAAACAGGGGAGAGGTGGGGGGGGGTTATGGCCACCCCTCAATGATTACCTATGAAATATTTCACATCCATTCCCATCAGCTTGCCTTCTTTACAGGGGACGTTAAAACGAAGATATTTTCCCACAGCATATTCTTCTTTTGTGGGCTTTTCTGACTCCCCCTGGAAGAAAATAACACACCTTTAATATGATTTATTTCCACAGGTTTATACATCTAAACATATGTTTTTATTTTCTTTTAGTCAGGAAATTCACTTATTTATCCCCCTTTCCATTTCAAAGTTCTGGCTTATTACATACATCTATTTTTTTTATTTTATTTATTTTATCTTTTAATTCTTAATTTTAAAAACAATATGTAAATGTTTGACCAATGTTTGAACATATAATTTAATCATTCTAAACAATTCTAATCAGTAACAAAGTCCAAGGATACGCTGCAATATCTCCAAGCAACAAAATCAAACAGGTGCAAAAACAAGTGCCCTCAGCTAATGATAAAGAAAATAAAAAAACTTCAAACAGCTGTTTTGTCGCTGAGGAAGCAGAAATCTTGTCTGACGTGGACATATGTACTAACAAATGCTGCAGTTAACTTGCTTTGTTTAAAACGAAATAAACCTCTGTGTGCTATTATTTTGACTAGAAGCGTTCTTCTGTAGATATTATTGCCTGTAATAAAATAAAATTCTCGATACGTACTTTAAATTAGTAATCTTACCTCATCTTTTCTCTTTTGCTTTTTTCGTCTTTCCGCCATGCCTGTATGATAGCGGAAGTTATTGTACGCGAGTCGTAAAGTTGTGATTGAGTATTTTACAAGAAATAGGCATGCGACAAATACTGCGGCTTCTCTTATTCATTTTCTCTTTTTTATGTTGAATATATTATCATACGTTGTAGTCGATATGTTTACATTCCTTTTTTTTACAAAAATATGGTGAAAAAATGCAATCATCATTCGTGCACGTATACACTGACCCGGAAAAAAAGCTGCCTGAAACATGGTAGCAATCCAAAGCTTTGTCTCGTTTCGGTCAAAATGTTTTTCTTTATTTAAGTGGAACATGATTGAAAGCGAGGTCACTACTTTATTATTTCTGGACTTTGCGAGCGAGTAGGAGTGTTTGTACACAGCAATGATCACATGACGAAATAGGTCATGCACACCTTCTGATCCGGATTTAAGTCAGTCAGAAACTAGCAGAAGAGACCATATGTGAAATTACTCGATGGTAATTGGGGAGAAATGTCTTAGAATGCGACAGATCACGGAGGACGCTGAATAAACCGCTCAGGCCAAGTACACATAACTTGTAAGTCCTCAACTTAATTTCAAGTTTAGTGTTCATGTTATAAAAATCACTCATTGTCGTATCCATTCTCCTAGGAATGGAAGTCCGGGCTCCCATATGTAGCACTATTAGTGGTGGTAGTATTAGTACAGTTTAGGGTTAGAGAATTAATGCAGTTCGTATCATATGTGGAACGAATTTAATGTCACCTGTGCAAAGTAATGGGGAACATACATGTACTACAGTTCCTACATGTAGCGAGCGGACTATCATTGCTGTATGTCATACCGGTTCTTTGTTTGATTTCTGTGGGTGGTTATTAAGTATCATTATCCTGTCATCTCTGATAGCACAGTAAATACACTGATGATTTCCCTGTTGAGTGAGCTTGAAAGGAGAGGGGGAGGGGGGGGGGGGCACTTGCTGGTCTCAGGTAGACTGCACGGTTAACTCACAGGTCATCGTGACATGAGATACACTGAAGTAGCCCCTGTACAACAACACTGCAGACCTGGATGGTTTAAAATTATATTCACAATATAAGCAACCAAGATATCATAGAATTTTTATAAACTGTAGGCACAGTAACTTCTCAATGACTGCTGTGAAGCTAGGGCAGAAATATCATTTATTTATTTATTTATTGGTAACAATTAACATGTAAAATTGTATCAGTAAAGGTTTATTTTGTAGATATTGTACAGTAGACAACATTCATATTGTTAATTTTAGAAGTTGTAGTCATGTTTTTATATTTTTTAATTGATTTTATTATCTAGTGACAATTTTAGAAATAAATATGATACAGTGTGACAAAAAAAAATTGAGTGGCTAAGATACGGTTTATAAAATTATACTCGTTAATTGTGCATACAGGGTCACAATACAAGGTACATGTAGATGTATATTATATTGATGTCATATGTTGAAACATATGTATACAATTGTACTGTTGGTTAAATGCAACATACTGTGGTAATTTTATCTGCAGGTTATATAAATCTACAAGTGATAACATTATGAATATGGCCAGTCTATACGTGACCGTGTAAACCACATACATGATGTAGAATAGGCTGCATGTTGTCCTGTCACAGGACCTAGGTATTAGGGTAGTATCAATTACATAATCATTGTCAGGTTTGGATTCATAATTTGAGTTTGCACAATAGCTGTGAGGTATCTATTATGTACCAGCCTTCAGCAGGATTGGCAATATTGATACTCAGCAGAAGCTGTTAAACATATTGTTCTCAAAGAAAAGGCACATGAATCTCTCTCTCTCTCTCTCTCTCTCTCTCTCTCTCTCTCTCTCTCCATTTATTTTCATTACATCCATTCCAGTAGTATATGTAACAGTTAAAGTAAAATGAACTATGTTTTACATGAACTTCAAGGTTTTTGGACACAAATTTTAAAATGAAAGAAGTGTCAAAATTGAAAAGTTTAATGATGATGCTAATGATGATAATGTCTGGTTTTTCAGATCAGTATGAGTAACTTTTTGCGTAAGTTACTACGGCGTAAGCACGTCGACTTAGAGAATGTGGAAGATACAAAACTTCACAGATGTCTTTCAACCCTAGATCTTACTTTCTTAGGTAAGTTTATTATTGTGGATTATATTTTTAGTCTTTTTTTTCAGTAGATTGCATTGGGTGATAATATTACTATAATGTACTATGAAAGTACTACTAAGGTTATTTACTAGTACTAGAACATTACTAGTACATAATACGATGGAACACCACATTCAAAACTAATGGGGGGATTGGGATTGTGGGGGTGAGGATGGGGGGTGGGGACTGGCGTAAGGATGGGGGGTGGGGGGTGAGGATGGGAGTGGGGGTGGGAGTAAGGATGGGGGGTGGGGGTGAGGTTGGGGGGGTGGTGGCGAGGAAGGTAATATTATGTACTAGTAATGTTCTAGTACTAGTAAATAACCTTAGTAGTACTTTCATAGTACATTCAAGTTTTGGGGCTTCTTATAAAGGGAACTATTACAGTAGATGTGAGGTGGTATATAAAAACCTTCCCCAAATGGGAAAAAAATTCACTTGTATTCTCAAGGTTGTATATACGGGGTCCACTTTCATCACTAATTTTACTCTCTTTATCCTTCAAGGCACCAGTTCCACATGTTTAATGACTGAAACCATTGAACATATTCAAGTAAAACTTTATTGTCTCAGCTTCAGTTTTCCAGGTAGTTGTCATGGGTCCAGTGTAAACATTAAAAAACTGTGTTCACATTCATTTTACTTTCTATATTAAACATGTTTATATTTCCAGGTATTGGGAGTACCCTTGGAGCTGGTATCTATGTGGTTGCCGGGCAGGTTGCCAAGGAGACGGCTGGACCTTCAGTTGTCTTATCATTCTTTATCGCAGCCGTGGCCTCAGTTTTGGCAGGTATGCAGTACAGAGGATAAAAGAAATTCCATTTCACAAAAAAAAAAAAAAAGAAAAAAAAAACCTAACACACTGTCACAGCTCACACACTTGTACACTGTCTTTGATCTAAATTAAAAAAATAAAACTTGTTTTGTATTTGATCTCATTCCTTGTTTTCCAGGCATGTGTTATGCAGAGTTTGGGGCCAGGGTTCCTAAGACAGGGTCAGCCTATGTATACAGTTATGTCACAGTGGGGGAATTATGGGCCTTTATCATTGGCTGGAATCTTATCTTGGAATATGTCATAGGTATTGACAAACTCCCTGATTTATTTTGTTTTATTTATTTTTTATTTTTTGTTCATTTTATATAAATAAGTATTTTGAAATAAGATATGAATTGGTTGATGTTTACTTTATTTCATTTATTTACTATTTTTTATTAGCAGTGATGGGAATTCTCATCCAATATACTTTTTTAAATCCTATTACAATAATTATGATTATGATAATAGTTATTATAATGACAGAAATAATGATATTATATAATATTACTTTAATTACAATTGAAAAACAAATCTTAAATGGATATTCTAGTTCACCAGGTTAATATTTTTTATTCCCTCCACCAGGCACCGCCAGTGTGGCGCGGGCGTGGAGCGCCTATTTCGACACTCTAATTGGAGGCGCTATAGAGAAATTCTTCTCCCAGTATGTTCACATAGACGTCCCGTACCTGTCCAAGTACCCAGACTTCTTTGCCTTAGCAATAACATTACTTTTGACTGGTATGTTAAACTTTTTTTTTTTTTTTTTCAATTTTTAAAGAGTTACTTAATTATTGTTATTTTGTTGAAAGGTGTCTAGATGAGAAGGAAATTTGAAAAAATAGAAAACTGAAAATCAGACAAAATATCCCAGATTAAAGGAAAAGAGGAATTATCCAACTAATGTAGACCAGAAACATATGTAACATGAAGTTTTTCTTGAACAAAGGGAGGAGGTTATGACGTCACTACCACCCCCACCCCCCTCACCCACTTGCTTCACTTTCTTATACAAAAGAAAACTTTTCAGGGAGTTTGTTTAAACTATGAGACCAAATATGAAATCAGTTTGACCCAAGATAAATCAGTATAGTTCTGTAGTCACCATGTTCCAGTGCACCCCTGCAAAAGTAATAAATAAATAAATATAAATATGTACGTAGTGAATTTAATTAAATTTTTTTCCTAACTGTGTTTTATTTCAGTGATATTAGCCATAGGTGTTAAAGAGTCTTCCTTTGTCAACAATATCTTCACGGGGGTCAACCTGCTGGTGGTCACCTACGTTGTTGTGTGTGGATGTTTTAAAGCAGATTTTAAAAACTGGAATATAAGTGAAAATCAGGTTTGTAGTGATGGCTATAACAACCTCTATTTGTACTTTCTGTATTTATTTGAAAACAGAGTTTTTAAACTACAGTAACTTGAATATCTGTTAGAGTACATTGCAATTATTATAATAGAAGTAGTTTCTTTAAAATGACAGCTATTAATTAGATTAAAGCATTGTCAAATAAACCTGAGTATAGCTGATGAAATTTCTATAAAAATAAATGTTTGTTGTAAGAAGATCTCAAGTTCACTTTATCTTAAAATGTCATTTGCAGGTACCAAATTACACAGATCCCACAGAACCATTTGGGCATGGTGGCTTCTTCTCGTACGGCATTTCCGGTACCCTGTCTGGTGCTGCCACCTGTTTTTATGCATTTGTTGGCTTTGACTGTATTGCTACAACAGGTGGGTGAAACTTGAAATATCTGAGAATTCTCTTTACTAAATTGTTATTAGTTGGCGTTGACTGTATCGCAACGACAGGAAACAATGGAGCAAATCAGTTAAGTAGAAAGCCTGTACAGCAAAGCAACGGCAGGTATAATCAAGATCGCTTCGACTGGTTGGTGAAACTTGATTTACATAATGATTCTGTTAATTTACAAAATTGTTGGCTTTGTACTGTATTGCTATAACAGCTGGACAAAACATGCCATACGTGGGATTGCTACAACAGGTAAGTAAACTTGCAATACCTGAGATTTTGAGAGGCATTGAGCAGTATGTAGAGAAGCTGATGATTATACAACACAGTGACAAACTGGTGTTTTTTTCTTTCAGGTG